TTGTTTGGTGTACGGTTTGAAGAAGGACGCTGGCGTATTCTCAAACTTAGGTTGTCCGATGTTGATGTCTCGCTGTCCCTGCGGCTTTCATTTATGCTTGGCGTTGACGTCGGAGGTGGTGGGGGCGGTGGTGGCTGCAGTTATCTACTTTGAAGATGCAAGTTTTTAAGAACTTATTCAGGCCTTTAATAGCCACAGATATATTTTGTTTAAAAACTTACAAATAAAGCTGTTAAATTACACATACTATCCTGTAAACATCGCTCATCACAGCCACCTCGGACTGCTTCTCCATCTCTTCTCAGACTCTGAAAAAAGAACAAATTTTTGCGAATTTTTATACAGTGATTAACCCTCTCACCTCTAATTTGGCGGTAAGCTCAGCGTCTATTTGTCGTACAGAATCGCACGATTTTTTGAAGATCGACCGCACTGTTTCCATCTCATTTGTATGTTTCGTAACAGTTTGTCGAAGTGAACCATATAGATCCAACACTCGAGCAAGCTCATTACGCAGGGAAGTTAATGAGTCGTTCATCTTGCTAATCTTTCTATTACATTTTTCAGTATGTTCACCGAGCATGTGGGATGTTTCCTCTTTGCTGTGCTGGAATCGCTCATTAACTTCTGTTTCCAGTAAAGTAATCATTGACGTCAGATGCTGGAGTTCTCGTTGTTCGCAGATTATCCTGAAACGCTCAGTCTATAAGATCACCATATTTTGGTGTTGCTCCCTCATTCTGACTCTTGTGTATCTCGACTATAGTTAGGACCGAATATTCTTGTTCGAATATGATTGATCATTTCGAGAAATTCGAATATTCGGCATTCGAATATTCGAAAAAACGCATTTATTCAGTTGTTCGAACACTCGAGTATTTTGTAATCGACAACCGAATATTTGAAATGGTTTCGATAGAGATTCGAATGATATTCGATAGTTCGGATGCCTGCGAAAACACCAATATTTGTTTGATCGAATATCTGAAAATCATCGAATATGGTTGAGATTGCGTAATTATGTTTGATTGAAATATTCGAATAACTCGATTTTTGCCATTCGAATACTCGAATACTCGAAAATACGCACCAATTCTGTTATTCGAATTTCCGAATATTCGGTCATGTCCAAGTATTCGATGATTCGACTAGTCGTAGACAAGATCTTCACTACTCGAATATTTGAATTCGAATATATTTTAAATGGCTATTCCAATAATATTCATTCGTTCGAATATCCTCATTATGAACGAATATTCGACATTCGTTCATTCGAAAAAATTTTCAATGTTTCAACTATAATCCTAACATATCCCTATGAGATGGTTTCT